TAACATAACATAACCTCGCCAGGGCTCTGGTCTCATTGGATCAAAAATCGTAGACAGCCTCCTCAAAGCTGGCTTTGAAGTCACAGCTATCACCAGAAATGAGTCCTCTGCAGCCTTTCCCGATAAAGTGATCGTGAAGCGTGTCGATATCACTTCAGTCGACTCCGTCAAGGAAGCCCTGGCCGGCCAGGATGCCGTAGTATCAGCCGCGGCAACGGCTGCTGCTGGAAGCCAGCAGGTCATCATTGACGCAGCCATCGCAGCAAAGGTCCCAAGATTTATTCCCTCCGAGTTTGGCATTCCGTCTCGTCAGAACCGAGATACCAAGATTGGAAAGATTCTCGGTGCGAAGATCCAAAACACTGACTACTTGATTGAGCTTGCCGAGAAGCATGATTGGTTCTCTTGGACTGGCCTTTCTAACGGATTGTTCCTTGATTCGGTATGTTATCGGCCTTCGTTTAAGACGGTAACGTTTTCTGACTGCGCTGCAGGGCCTCAAAAGTGATAGGGGATTCATCAACATCAAGGATCGCAAGATTCGCATCACCGACTCGGGCAACGAGCCCTATTCCACAACATCACTGGTCTTCGTCGGCGAAGCTGTCGTTGCTATCCTGAAGAAGCCAGATGAGACAACGAACAAGTATCTCAACATCGCTGGTGTTACGACAACTCAGAATGAAGTCCTGAAGATTGTCGAGGAGCTCACTGGCGACAAGTTTGAGGTTTCTCATGTCACTGGCGCTGAGCTGGAGAAGATTGGAGACGAGAAGATTGCCAAAGGAGACTTTAGTGCCTTTGGCAATTATCTCGAGAAGTTCTTGTTTGCCGATGGTGCTGGCCACGCGCTGAAGGGTGATGAGAATGCGATTGGGTTACTTGGGCTGAAGGAGGAGAATCTCGAGGAGGTCATCAAGAGTGTCGTAGCTGAGATCAAGTAGACTACATTCAGTCTAGAGGAGAATGCGATTTGAGTATCTACTTCATGCATGATTGTCGAATGTGAATAAGCAATAAATAATTGGTCTATTTGTAGCCAGAGGCATTGCTATGTCTAGTTTTTAACGGAGGAGTCAAGGAAGCGAATGGCATTTCTCAAACTTTCGATATTGGGAATCCCGTCCGCCTCTGCCTTCTCAACATCAACATTTCCGATTCTACCGTCGAATCCATGCTCCGCATCCTCCGGAAAGTCCTTTTCAACCTCAACCCCCGCTTCACGAAGCTTCTTCTCAGCTACGATACTGCAGTCCACTGTAACAGCAGAGTCGTTGACGCCGTGGAGCAAGAACGTGCGGGGAATCTTGGCAAGATCGCCGAAAGAAAGAGGAAACAACCGTCGGTGTTCTTCGGGGATGGCATCAATGCCCTTGCTGGCGATCTCGCGGCTTAGGCCTTCAACACCGGCCATGTAGTCTGGGAAGAGGGCGTCGATGTGAAGAGCTGACGCAACCTGGAACCGTGGGTCTTGCTGGAAGTTCTCAGGCGGGGGATATCCTGAGATGGCCTTTCGATCATCGTTCTCTTTCGTCCTGGGAAACTGGCTCAACACCGACGTGGTATCGAAAGGCGGTGCGCCCCAGATATTCGTCCCAGGAGTCGTATATCTCGGACCAGCTGCATCAAGCATTCCGTAGATGAGCAACAGCGCATCTGGTTTGTGTTTAACGGCATTTGCAGTCGTCAGTGCGAGATAACCACCGGCGCTAGAACCAGCCAGCAAGACAGGTCCAATAGGGCGTCCAATCGCGTCAGCCAGTGATGAGCGCACCCATTTGTACGCATCGATGGAATCGTCAAGCGATGCATGGGCGGTAGATTCTGGGACGAGACGATAGTCAGGGCTCACGAAGATCCATTTCCGCGTGGTCACAGCGTTGACCAGCCAGTATGGGGCAAAACTGTATCTGTCCCCAACAATCTACGCACATGTTAGAAACATTTCCCCCAAGGCTTAACCAGACTTACGAGAAATCCACCATGGATGTGAATGAGAACAGTCGTCGGGGAATCATCGGCTTCTTCCGGGTACACGACATCAAGAACGATGTCGCCATGGGGGGTAGATTTGTATGGGATGGTCTTGTACGTGTAGCCTCTGAGGCTGGAGAAAAGAGATGTGGCCATTCTTAGGAGTTCCAGGACGTATTTTGATGTTTGGCTCTAGCAATTGATCGTTGATGAAGATATAGAGGTTTTAAATACGAGTGGTGAGGAGCTCTGATTGATCGCAGGTAAATGCGCGCGCGCTCGGGGAAGCTCGGTGTTCCCCCGCACCCCGACGCCAGATTACGTGACGCCCATCCCACTTGAATAGCCCAGCGGCATGTCACCAAGTCCAAATAACTAAGCAAACCCAGCAAAGCTTATTACTTAAATGCCCTCTATATTTCGCTGTGACTCATACTACTTTTCGCGTTTTAGTCTTATCCCGGAGCTTAGCGGACTTAAGATTCAGTGATTCTTGAGAGCGCGAGACTGAGACAGCCAGTGGTACTCCGAGACGACTCGAAATAGGCGTGGTTCCCCGGACTTATTATTCAAGGCCATTGCGAAGAACTTCGTAGATCCTATTTCTCACATCAATATTACGTAAGTTTAACGAAAAAAAGTAGTCTCTAACAGCCATTCTCGCCATATATAATCGCGGAATCGACCAAAAGCACAACAGTCTTAAACGCCTTACAAGACGGCGCCGCGAAAGCCAAACGACTGGGTAGATAATGGACTGAATCACGTAAAAGAGTACCCTATCTCAGCCTTTCCAACCTCCTTCCCGCGACAGAAGATCCGACATACCAGTACACCAACATCCTCGTCACTGAGACGAATCGTCAAGGTGAGTAGTAGCTGATACCAGTGAATGCCATTGGCGTCTTGGATGGACTTGATCTTGGTCTTGTCAATACCAATGTCATCGATGGTGTATAGAACCTCGCCAACTTTCTCGATTCCTAGCCATCGTTAGCTCCATGGTTCCTAGCATTGGAATCTCCACTCACGTTCGTTCTCAATAGTCTCGGGTGCCTCATCCAAGCTGCACGAGTAAAGATCATGCGAGTGCTTTCCATCAAAGTATTCTGAGAAGTGCGAGTAAAAACTTGTGCTGATCTCAGTGTCGTCGTCGAGGAGAGCGCCCTGTGATTCATTAGTCCAATATCCCTCCGCAAATGACACCTGATGAAAGCTTACCTTCGCAATCTCCCAATCCATGAAGCCAGAGAGGTTTTGTTCCTTAGTCCAGGGATCGTTCCACAGTCTTCGCTTGTTCTCATCAAAGTTGAAATGAACTGCTGGATCATATGTTCGAGAGATGCTATGTCCATAGTGTCGACGACATTTCTTTTGTCCGACCATAGAACCTTCGACACCTCGCAACACAGCACCGCAGACAACAGCTGCCCAACTAGAGATAAGTCAGTCACAGTAAGGTACTTCTCACTAAGGGGTTACTTGCGCGCC